AAAAATAAAATATGATCTAGTACAACCAGCACATATCGTGTCGAAATTGGTTTTATAGATAATTTAATATCATGATACTAGTTGAAGTACGATCAAATAGGATAGAAAGATAGAGCTTTTTTTTTCTCTATCAGACTATATAAAAAGAAAATTACTTTGAGCTTATTATAAAGTACTAAGGTGTCACTCTATGTATTTTTGGTATGCCCTAAGTATAAATTCGCAGAATGTCAATATTGAAACACAAATTATTAATACATTACATGATCTAAATGAACATATATTGAAAACCGTCGATTTTACACAAAATTCAAAATATGTTAATGTTTCTTTCTCTTATTCTTATTCAAAAGAAATACGTTCAATCATTGATATGATTATGAAAGATAATACAATCATACTTGTTACTTCATTCAATAAAACATCAATTCGTCTTTCGATTAATGAATCTAATTTTGAGATTTCGAATGAATCTTGTTTTGTTATTGAGAATATGCCATGCTGTGACTTTAATGAAACTGTTGAGAAGTATATTCATGAATTTATAATTGGTTATTTTGGTTATACATATATTAAAGAAGTTCAACTTGGTGGTATTATACAACAAACAATTGTTATTACACAAAACGATCGTATAAATTTAGAGAAAAATGGATTTAATATATCGAACCATGTATGGATGAGAGATGTTGCCAAAGAACTTTTTTCAATTCAAATGAAATTAAATCGAACACAAACATATGATAAAATGTTAATGAATATTTCTAATAAGTATTTCACTAAAAGAAATGTTATGATATATGGTGGTAATATTTCAATAAAATCGTTTGATGATTGGTATAAGTCAGTATTAGATAATCCAGTCCTTGTGAAATTTAGTATTTCTACTATTTTTGAATTGTTAACGAATGGTCATTTTCCTACTGATTCATATATTGTCCAAAAAGCTGCATTAATCAAATTAGCTGTTGATCGATATTTATCAAATCGAGTATATTGTTATAATCAATGTACGGATACTATACATGGAACATGTATTGATAGTGGCTTTTTCCAATTTGGTATCTGTCAATGCAAATCGATGTGGACAGGATTTGACCGTGCTACTCCTATTCGTATATTGTTCTTCTTGTCACAATAGAAGTTTTATTACCTTGTCATTCTAGCACATTATATCGATACACTTCACAATAGTGTATTACCAATTTGGAAAACTAGAGCAGGAAGAAATAGTTATCCAGCGTCAATAGGTTATGGAAAAGGAGGAATGATACCAACAGAGAAAGTTTCGAATATTTTTGATCACAATATTCATACTAAATATAGAAGTTTTGGATCAGGATCAAATAATATCATGAGTCAAAAAACTGGTCTAAATACAGGTTTTTATCTTACACTCAATGCTGGCATTTGTATTGTAAGTGGATTTCAATTTACAACTGCAACTAGTCATCCAAACCGAGATCCAATAATGATTACACTTGAAGGAAGTAATGCTGACAAATCTTTGTTAACATTTAGTATCAGTTGGTCATTGATATACAATGGATCAAGTGGACTTGAAAGTGATCCAGGTCGAGGTAAAAGAGGTGTTCTTCAAATATTCAACAATAGTCAACTTTATCGAAGCTATCGTCTATTGGTTGTATTAAAACGAGGAGTTGAAAGTGGAGTACATTATTCGGAATTTCCATTCTATGGTCATTCATGTTTGCCAGGTAAAAACAATGAAGGAATTTATTTACTTTTATTCATCAAGTTTTTGCTATTGATACATTTTAACATTTGAAATAGGTCAACACTATTGAATCATTGACCTTTTTTTTCCTAAATATAGAATCGCATAGACGAACAGAAAATATGGTGAAGATAGCGATGACACAAACGACAAGTGCATATATGACAGTTACCAGTGATTATTCGCAGCCATTGATATCAACAACATCAATTAATATGAATATGAAAAATACGTTTCCTAACCAAACGATTGAAGCAGGTAGAACAAGTTCCGTGTCATATATTAGTAGTGGAACTGGAATATCCCAATCGTATTTCGACATCGCTTATAGATTCAACACAATGATGGTAAATATGGGACAGGGAACTTACGTTACCAATGTGAATTTTTCCGGACCAGAAGGTCATATAGGAGTATTACTCCCTCCAACAAAACCATTTAGCAAAGATATCGATTACGTATTCTACTTTTTCGGCGGTCCTGGTATCTTGCCGCCCTTGATCAATAGCTTCATTGCTGCTAATCTTCCAGCTATTGTCGCGTATGTGTCCACTAATTCACTCTCTATTAATCTCGATGATGCTATAAAATTAACCATAAAAAACCTTGATCTCACTCCGCAATCAATCTATTGCAGTTATGCTGCTCTATCACCAGTCGATTATCAAGAAAACAATCTACAGTGGTACATCAATATGATCCTCAACTTAAATGGTAAGATTTTTGCTTCTATAATGTATCATGGCATGAGTATGGATTTTAATGTAACTCTCAGTGCCGCTTCCATGTTGATGCAAACAACAATCAACATCAGTGAACATCAAGGTTTCTCTTGTATAGCAACACGGTTGGCATTTCCATTCAGAGTTTCAGTATTAATAATGAATTTGTAATGCTCTTAAAAACATTCTTCTCTACATGGTACAATCTTATTGATACACCCTACCATTTAGCAAGTACACTGAACATGAAATACAATAGCATTATTGTTAACAAATTGAACATCGCGATTAGCAATCTTATAAATACAACATTGATTCAGGATATATTCAACATGAGATCAATGCCGAACAGAACGTTTCACAAAGATATTTATAAAATCAAACAAACAGAAACGGATTACAGTCGCTGGATGTCAACTCCAAAAATTCAATCGAAGACCCTTTCACAACTAAAAATTCCTGGAACTCACAATTCTGGATCATATGGTCTACCACGAAAATTATCTCAGATCATCTATGGAAATATCAAATTTTTGTGGAGTTTAAGTGCTGATACTGCCCTAACAAATGGTCAGCTGCCGTTCAGTAAAGATAAGATTTATGTTGGTCGCATCTTGTTAGATTATGTTCTTGAAACTGCACTTCGAATATCTATTTCACAGAATCGAACTATTCGACAGCAACTCAATGATGGTATACGCTTTTTTGACTTGCGGATTTACTACGATACAGATGGATCCTTCTATATTCAGCATGGTCTTCGTGGTCCTGAGCTGAATGATGTACTTCATCAAGTTAAAAGTTTCCTCGATATACATTCTACATCGGGTGAATTAATTTTTCTTTCTATTTCTCATACCAATTTTGGTATTGATCCTGAAATCCTTCCAGCTAAAGTGACGACAATCATTCAAAACAATCTGAAATCTTATCTCTATATGCCTGCGAATTCCGTCGGAGTCAAAAACTTTGACTTTCAGAGTCTGAAAGATATAACCCTTTTTTCTATAACTACTACTAGGTTACATAGTACATCACCGAAGGTTATCATTCTCAATATTGACAACTCCGATGATTACTATTACAAAGATACAGTTGTGAATACTAGAGGATTTGGAGATTCAGGAAGATGGACACTCAATTCTAATGGCGTCAATATCATTGCAGAATTAATAAAACTCGAAGATCAAGGATTGAAGAAAAACAAGAAAGCCATGTATCAAATAAGTTGGACACAGACACCACAGATCATGGATATTATTCAAAATGTTGTGAATCATTTCAATGGAAATGTACCCACGATGTTGTTAAAACAACTAGCATTAAAAACTAATTCGGTACTTCGAGAATTTTTGACTAATCATACAACGAGCATATTTAATCTAATCACTATGGATTAGTATGACATTAGTTCGACAATTAATCCAATTGACGTTATCATTGGACTAAATTAATATTATGAATACTGTGTTGGTTGTCACGTATCATTTTATGATTTTTACACTCTAAAGTTTTCTGTGTTTTTACTCTTTTGCTTTATGTTGAATATATTATTCTAATACTCAATTGTATAAATAGACAAGGAAGGCTGTGAATATAAGAAATACTATAAACTGTCAATCAATTCTTCTCAGCCTTACTTTCAAGACACTTCAAAATAAACCTGTTCTGCATTCTGTATGCAAAGTATTTATACAATTGTATGATCAAAGTTGGACGACAGATTCCTGATATAAAAAATGTTGCCTAGTATATAGATAATCAATTACTGAAAACTATAGATTAAGTCAATTTGAAGATAAAATCATAATACTATTCCTTCAATCGAAGGACGGGTGGTGTGAAAAAAAGTGAAATATGTTTGTCTGTGTGCCTCTCGCGTGTCAAAGGTGAAACAAACAACCTTCAGACCCGATTTACATTAGGTTGCGAATCGAAATATATAACAAATAATCAATATATTAATAATATCTGTTCATTACTCTTACATATTAGTAAATTGTAATAAAAAAAACAAATAACCTTTCGTTATTATTCTTGTTCGTCGATTAGCCCCTTATAAATAAATTGATTATCATCAAAAGTTCGAGTTTTTCTTTTGCTGTTAAGTAGGAAAAAAATTATTCTTCTTCGTCATGATTATTGATGTCAACGTTGTTTAAGCTTGTAGGCGACAAAGGCAATAGCATTGGATCTACAGGGTGTTACAGAATCTTTGCCTTTCCCTCTACAACTAAAAGATTCAATGATATTACAAATGTATTTTATACCAAATTAAAAAGTAGTGAGTATGGGCTGTGAGTGGGCATGAGTGTGTGAATGTGGGTGTGTGAGCGTGGGTTTAGGTGTCGGTATGGAAGTATTCTTTACGCTAGAAATGACACCTACATCCACACCCACACTCAGTTTAAATAATTTAGTGATTAATGGTGGTATTGGTCACTCGCGAAGACAATGGATTCAATAACGCAGCTTATACAATTGCTTGTACTTTGCTTCATGGATCGGATTTGACCAAAAGTTTTATTCAAAGCAACAAAAAATTAGAAACAAATGAAAATCTTATTGAACTGTTGGTATTTATGCTGATTTTCTATAGTAATCGTTCAATTGTTTTATTTAATAATGAAGACCATATTAAAATGATGTCAAGCTCAATCGAACTTTTTCATATTCAACATGTATATGGAAATATTTCGTTTATTTTTACAAAAATAATAGAGCAGTGTTCGTTCTTCTTTCTTTTTGGATGAGAGTTATCATTGATGCAATTAATTTAGAAAGAGACATGATGAAAAGTCTAGCTCATCATTCATTCATTCATGAATAAAATTCTGACAAAAACATAGAGCTTTTTATTCATAACAAATAAAATATCTTTTGATGACTTTTTTTACGTCATTTCATTTTCCGTTTCTTCGTGCATGCAACTATATAAGCAGATGCACTTCTCACTAGTGACACCTGAATTTCTCTGCTCGGTTTAAGAAATTTTGAAACCTTTTAAATGAAAACGATCAACAAGTCCTTATAAACATTCTGTGTAAATGTTTGCAGTAGGGTGATTAGAATTTAATTAACAATACATCATGAAAGAGACTATTTCCTGAGAGATTGACACAATGATGTACGAACTGATATGAGTATTTATCGATAAAAGACTGTTTTCTCATGAATATCCACATTATTTCTTTATTACTCAAAATTATTCTGAAGTAATATTTGTAGAACGAAGATTAATTTTGAAGTATGGCTATCAGAAGGATGGATGATGGTATCCAGATGGTATCTTATCTCTAATTTGACTTATAATGTTCTTTAATTAAATATAATGTTGATCAAGACTTTGACTTCACTTTTATTTTTAATCAGATATTTAAATTATTTGATATAATTCAAGTTTATTTTTGTCATTTGATAGTGCAGAACGAATAAATAGAATATAATAAAAGCGAGCAAACTAGTGTGATAAAAAAATCACATTGCACATTGTTTTTGTAATTCTGATTATTTCACTTATGATACAACGAAACTATACAATTATATAACAGTTTGATTTTGATGCAACTTAATTGAATTCTACAAAATGACATACATGAATATGTTTTTTAAATCCTTTTATTGCTTAAATTTATCAAAAACATGCATTTTTATTTTTCACACAGAAAATGGTCAAAAAAATTTTTCATAATAAAAATACAAGTTTTACTTTTTTTTTTTAAAATAAACTCGACCAAAAATTACCCTTTTAATTTATATAAAATATTTTAATATCAAAATAAATATTGAGAGAATCGATACACAACAGAAAATATTACCGAGCTGTTTATTTTTCAAAAATGACTTCATGAAAAATTTTGATAAGAAGGAGACGAAACAATAATTTGAAATACCTAATTCATTTACAAAAACATTATTTTTGTGACATTCTCAGAAGTTTATCAAATATTATTCTTTTCTCTAAACTTTTCACAAATTCTTGTGATATAAATGAATTATAGATTTTCAAAAAAAAAAAGAATTCATAATTATTAGATTAAGATTTCATTGCTTTGTACGAATTAAATATATTTATTAAATGAAATTCATTTCTTTCAAATGATTATTTTTTTATTTCAAAAAAATATTTTTATTCTTTCAAACTATACACAAAAATAATAATATTCAACAAATTTCTGCCAAAGGAAAATAATTTTGTAAAGATTGAATTAAATTTTCATATTCTCCTTGTAAAAATAATTTATTTACTTTGCTACAATTAATTCGTGTTTCATTTCTTGTAAAATTTTGTGTTATTCTTGTTAATGATTCCAAATCAATAATAAGTAAAATTGAATTATGTAAATATGTTTTTGTATTAAGAAGAAATTGTTCAATATAATCATCATGACATTGTCGAATCTCAAGTTCAATAAGATGATTATATCGAATAATTTCTAAATTTTGATTAATATCGATCGATTGTTTAAAATTTTTTGAACAATAATTAATCAAAGTTAATCTAGTCATCAATGGAAATGCAAGAGAAATTCGAAGAAAAAATTCATGTTCAAATGGATGTTTATCATATAATGACACTTGACGAACATATGGATAAAATCCACCTGGAAAATTATTTGTTATTTGTTTATAAAATTTCATTAGAAATGGATATGAATAAATATGATATTGTGCTTGTTTTCGATTATGAATATAATCAACACAAGATATTATTTTTCTACATGGAAAATCTTTAAATGTCTGTTGAATATCTTCTTTTAATGGGTACTTCAATTGATTTTCCATATATATATATGAATAAATATCAAAATCAAAATGTTTTATTTTTGTTAAATGATTAAAAATATTTTCTTTCAAATTATTTCGATCAATAAATCTTTCTTTGACATAAATCGTAATATATAAACCAAGTTTTTCCAAATTCAACATTCGATGAAGAAGTGGAACAATTAATTCATTGTAATTCCATGTTTCCAAAAAACATGATAGATTAAAACACTTAAGATTTGGAATTTTACCCTGGAAAATTCAAACAAAAAAAAAGAATGAATATATCTTTTATTATTAAACTAACTTGATTTTTGATTTGATTTGATGAAGAACAAATTTTGATCAAATCAATATAAAGTGATTGAAGATTATTGAAACGACCATCAAGCATACAGAGACAATCATCAAAATTCTGTACCTTGATATTTAATGTTAATAAAGTTGATGAAGAAAATTTAGGAGATGGAACATCGGTCATAAATCGAACAATATTTTTATAGGATTCATCATAAAATATTAAATGAATTAAATTATTCATCATAGTAAATAGATTATTGCATATATTTTCTACTATTGATGAAGTCTTTTTTTCTGAATCAATTCCAACAACAAGCGATGTGATTTGATTTTTGAAAATATCAGATGAAAGATTTTTATCTAAATTTAAAAAAATCTATTTTATATTAACATTGATTCTATATCAAAAATTAATGGAAACAATCGAATGATTAAAAAATAATCTTAAATTTTGAGATAATTATCTCTAGAAATTATTCATACCAGTAAAAAGAAAGTTGATTATTTCATCGTTAATATTGTAGAGGCCAAGTCCATATAAATTAGAATATTTATTAGCAGATAAAAACTGTGTCATAAATGATGATTCAAGATTAAACCATTTGATTCTTTTACAAATTTCGGGTAAAATTGGTAAACAAGTAAATTGATCAATAAAATTAGAAGAAAATTTATTGACAATTTTATTGCATGACCATTTAACAAAATTCAAACGATTTGTAAATATTGGATCATGTATAAGTCTATTGAATCGTTGATTAATATTATGAAAAGAATAAAGTACTTCACAATTATGTAGATTTTTCAATATTAGTAGAAGTATTTCATCGGGTAAATCATTCAATTGCATTTTTTTTCGTTTCTTATTAAAAAAATGAACACATTTATAAATATGTTTGTTTTTCACGTTTGACCGATATCGTCAACAGTAAGAACAATGATGATGCACTTTTCAATAGTCTAAGTGATGATTGATCGTCATCATTAGATCGAACGCAATGGACAAATATAGAAAAAAAAAGGTGAACAACAGATGACAGAAGAGAAAAATATAGAAGAAAAAAATGTCGAATGAATTATCGTCGATAGAGAAAAAGGCTGACAGAAGAATATCGTACAAAAGATATAAAGGGTGGTCCAGAAGTCCTGACTCGATTTGTATAATGAATTTTTCATTGTTAAAGAATATGTTTAAAAATTTGTCTCTATGGTAAAAAGATACAGCAAAAGATGCTCTACAAAACTGCCTATGATCAACACCACCCAATTCATCCAGTAAGAAAATTATTTGTTTAGAAATACATATTAAAAAAACNGTTTAATAAGGTTCTTGTCTCAATAAGACAAGGGTAGTGCTCTGATAAAGATGGCTTTAAAGTAAACATAAATAGCTTGGAGGATGTAGAATTAAGCATTGTTTTGGCCAACAACTCACGCATATCCTTTTTGTCGATATTGTATATAATATATCGAATGCATTCAATATTCTTGATCGAATATTGCAATTGAAATATTCATAATATCAAATCATATTCTTCTTTTTTATTTCCTATAATTTTGTTTTCATAGAAAAAAAAGGTAGAAAAAAAAAACAAAATTGAAAGAAAAAAATCAACCTAAACACACACGCATATATTGTTGATTTTTTGATTATGAGAATAGTCCTCATTCTTTTGTTTTTGTTTCAAAATCTTTTTAATTGATCACTAATACGATTTTCAATTTTAGGTAATAATTGATGAATTTCATTAGCACAATTGACAACACATGGTTCAAAAATAGATCGAAGACGACCTTCATCTTTATCACCACTATCTTTTGCTTTATCTTCACAACTTTGAATACATCGCATTAAACGTTCTTGTACATGTTGCATTTCCTGACTCATTGCTTGTTCAGCTTGAGTAATTTTTGATGAACATTTTTCAACACATTGATTAAATTTTACTGGATCAAGTGTTTGATCTTCCGTACAACGATATGAACAATTAAATGCATCACCCTAAAATTAAATACAAAGTAAAACATAATAATCAAATAAATACTTCACGTAGATGTCAACACATTTTTGGAATACTCAATAAACTTCATCATATTTACTTTTGTTTATTACATCAATCACGAGGAAATATTTCCAACTATCATATTGCTTTTTTGCTTGAAACTATTGTTATTCGATCGATCGATTTTCTTTGCAAAAGCACAAACATCGATCTTATATTCATAGACCAAAAGACGAGTAAAATGCTCACAGATTCATAGGTGATGATCGAAAACCAAAGTACAACACATATTTTTACTACTCACTAATACAGATTGAATAGTTATAGTTTCAAATAAAATGCAATTTGATTGTTGAGGATTTTGTCTCGTCAACGTAATGAAATTAGGCTATTAGTATATTCTGTCACCTATTTCTAAAATATGTATGAGAGAGCAAAGTTTGATCTACTTCTATGAGTTCACCACCAAATACGTCATCGTCAAAAAATATTTAACTCCTTTTCCTTCTATTTGCCTTATATACATACCAAAATTGACGATTGATGAATCTAAACTCAATCACCTCAACAACGCCAACAACTAGCGATATGAGACTTCAGCAGTCGACTGAGAAGAACTACGAACGTCCATTTGTTCCATACTATATAAGACAAAATTATTTTAAAATTCATTGTCTTCGTAAATCATTTAAAAGGATACATTAAACCAATATGTCGTTTCGATGTTCAAGTGATTATCTTCTCATATCTAAATGTTGAGCGATTAAAACTGCGTACTTATTAGATTAAATTAGATAGTCCTGTTGATTTTTATTGAAATTTCTTTACAACGGGACACCATTGAATGTTTTGCGAAAAAGTGAATTTTCACAGTTATTTTGTCGTACATAGATAGTACGAGACAAAAAGACGTCCTAAGTCCTTGTGTTTTGACTTCTGAAATCCACAGATCGTTAACTGTTACCGTCACCGAGTTATTAAGATCGCATCCACATTTCTTTAATTCTAGAATACAACTGATACATAATTTCTCTTTCTATTGTTGTCTCCAAGTAGAGAGTAATGCTACGAAAACAAGACGATAGGAGGACATTTATATATATAAACAAAAAAAAGCGAAGAGGACAGCATAAATACAAAGAAAACCGTCATACAGCTTCTGAAATTAGACGAAATCGATTATGTCAGATATCTAGAGATGTGCGAAATTAACTGTTTGTCCCAGCGACTGGGGTTAGACCGGCATTGGGACTGTGACTAGGACAAGAAAACCTAGATTCAGTATATCTCTGATCATACATCAAACAATAAAAAGTACCATGTATATCAATAATATAGAAAGATTTCTATGAAAATTAAATTCGAGAAAAATATCAAAACATACATAAATTCGTCGTAGATAATTTCGATGTAATGTTCCAGCCATGGTTGAAATAGCATCGTTTAATTTACGTTGTGAATCTTCCATGATAAAATGAATTTAAAATTTAATCTATCTACAAAGAAAAAAACAGAAAAATTAATTATTTCTTTTTTAATTTGTTTTTCTTTTTTCGTATTCCAGTTGAAATACGTTTAGGATTTTGATAAGGTGAAATCATTTTTCCTGGAATAAATGTTACTGAAGATGATGATGATGATGATGGTTGTTGTTGTTCACAACCATTTATTATTTGAAGAAGATTATTAACAAGATTTTTAAGTTGTTCATGTTCTTGACATGATAATTTAAAACCTATTGTGGAACAATGTGGTATAGAAAATATTTTTGTTAACATTGTAGATAAATTTTTTATACGAATTGATGGTATTGAATGCAATTGTGAAAGAAGTAAAATTGGTTTAGTTAAAATAATTGGTACTAATGACGTACAAACAAAAACTAATGAACATTGATTTTGTTTTATACAACGGATAACACAACGTAAACCAATGGCTAAATGTTGTTTAATTGGATGTTTACTAAGAATTTTTGTTTTTGTTCTTGAACGTTTTAATGATATTTCAAGTTTTTCTTCATTTAAATATTCACTAAGAATCGCTAAAAGATGATCTTGTATATCATCTGGTATAACAGGCCAATTATGTTGGCCAGGTGCAGCAACATAAACTTTCATATTTGTTTATCTTCAAGAAATATAAAAGAGATGTAGGAATAATAGTTTGATAAAATACAAAGTAAAGATTATTTATTTATTTTTGTTTTGTTTCTTCCATCTTTTCGTTAACTAAATAAAATAATAACAACAACAAAGACAATACCAAAAGAAAAAAAAAAAGATTGAATCGATCAATTGCTGAAATTAATTGATCAGTTATTTGATGTATATAGAATTCCACGACATAGAAAAAAAAAAGGCAAAATAAAACTTAAATTCAATTATTTCTCCGGACGGATAAAAAACGCTGAGAAAGCAAAACATAAGAAGACAATACCACCCACAAGTGTTACTGTTTTTGGTGATATATGTTGAGCTACATAACGACCACCAATAACGGCTAATCCAGTACAAAAACCATGACCAATCGTGCCACCAATGATAACACCTAAGAGATTTTCCGTAGCTGCTAATACAATTGTTGTTATTTGAGATCGATCACCCCATTCCTAATGATACAAAAATAATAAAGTTCAAATAGAATTCTTCATTTCGATTTTTTTTTTGCGGAGCTCACATTATACTTTTCGAAGAAAACTATAGTGAGGATTAGTTTTAAGTAAAGATTTTGCAGTTAGTTCCCTTCCTAAATCAGTGATATGCACCGCGCCTAAAAGATGAGATACGGACACGGGAAAAAACGAAGCCGCGGTAGTATCTAACGGTGACAAAAAAAAATATTTTTTTCTCATTAACGTAAATATCATAAAATAACAACACTGATTACGATTTTATGAATTTAACAAATGAGTCTCTCAACGATTAAATTCCTTTCATTAACTGATTAGCATTTGATATACATTCTTTTTCAAAAATTCTTGGCAATAGAGTTTATAGCTGATATGATTAAAGCGCAGGCAATTCACACCTCTGCTCCATATGAATGGGAGAGGAGCAGCCAATAATGATTTGGTATGTTTTCATAGCAACTATAAACAAGGAGCATCAGACTCCTTGTGCAGAGTTTCTTATCAACGAGAAGGGGTGCTAAGAGGCATTAGTAACAAGATTTTAAAGTTTTCTTCAAAATTTGAATGGTTAGACGGCATTTGGGAATGTTTTAAATAGTGTAGTTTTTTATGTTTGTGCAGCGGAAAAGTTATATCTGATCAATTTATAGCTTTGAAAAATGATCAATATTTTTGAGTTTATCAGAAGAAAAAAGGAATATCCTTCCCTTTCAGCTAACTTGCGGTATAGGGTGCTATCTAACAGTAGCTTCAATACTCCGATATCTTTTCTAGTACAACGACTACTAACTGTAATTCTAGACAGAAAAAGCCGACCTGATACCAAGTTCTTGCTAGAGGGATGTAACAAATCTAGAATAGATTTAGAATTTGATTTGCTTTTGAACTTAATCCACATAAATAGTTTGAAATTATATCACTGTTATTGAAATACAAACTATTTATATTATTTTGAACCTTGTGGATATGTGTGTATCAAACAACGTAGTCACTCAGTCATGACGACTTAAGTTTATTGAGATATATAATAGTACATTGAGACCTGCTGTAGATATAATGGGTATATACAATAAACTTAGTTATCAATTAAATTAAGAAAAATGAAAAACAACGAGCGAATAGAAATAATGTAAGCAAAAACTAGAGTAACAGTGGAGAGTAATTCCTATTCGAAATGTAAAAGTCATTTCTCTGGAAATCTAATTATAATCTACTTGAGATTTTTCACTTGACATCTTATGATATGAACTAATACGTGTAAGCTTCACATTTTAGCTTCAAAAGAGGTGTTCCGAGAAAAGATTTTTTCATTATTATAATTATAAAAATTCTTATTTCTGTAATACGTACAGCAAGAAAAGTCATGATAAATGCTTGAATAAATATAGGTGATACATAACGACGTAGAATTGATGTAATTTTTGTTAATGAAGTTCGTTGTTTAGATGTAGATTGCAATCTTTGTTGTTGACTTCCTGTTCCTCCATTACCTGATTCAAGATCATTTGTTAGTTCACTTTTTTCTACTTCATGTTCAGCTTCTTCATATTCTTCTGCACCTTCAGCTGGTGACATTAAATATCCATCTCGTAACATTTTAATACCAAAACATGCAAATAATATACTTGATAAATAATATGTATAAATTCTTGGAATAAATTTTGTAACAATATTTCCCAATAATGCTGATAAAATAGTCATGGCACCTAAAGCACCCATTGCACCAACATATATAGTTAAACGTGGATAACGCATAGCCATAATAGCAGCAATAAAAAATGTTTTATCTCCTAGTTCTGATACAATAATAACTGATATTGATGCAATAAATGCATGAATAAAACCATAATTTGCACTATTTTTTATTGTTTCGGCAATTTTATCATGCCAATGATCAAATTCACTTTTTTTTTCTATAGAATCTTTATTGTTAAGAAATATTTTTGTTCCATTTGGTAATGTGATTTGAAGTTTTGGTAAATGTTCTTTTTGATAATGTTCATGAGAATAAAGATAAAGACACATCAGTAAAATTGAAGTGATAATTGTTACGATTATTATTAACGGCCGTGTTGTACTCAACGTTCGGCGAAGCTAATTAAAATTGAAAAAAAAAACAAACAAACACAAAACATAATGGTTTAATTAATATAAATTCAATAAAAAAAAAATTACTTTAAGAAAAGTATACGATCGAATATTGAACATAATTTTGTTTATATAAAGTGTTTCAAACAATACAAAATGTAATTGAATATTATAGTTTAGACAAGAAAATATCGAATATGATTATGACGGAAAGACTAGAAAGCAAATGAAATGAAAGTTTTCAAATTATACATATGAATTGATTTTTTTAAAAAAAACTTACTCTTTTATATTGAGAAACACAAAATTTAATTATGCTTGTACATCTATTCAAAATTACCGGTCTTAAATGAAAATTTTAATCTAGAAAAGAGAGAAAAACCACATAGATATATAACATCTATAAATAGATATCACTTAAGTAATCATTATCAATAATTTGTACAACATTATCAATTTGCATTAATATTTTTAATAATTCAATACTTGTTTTCCAAGCATCAAATTTTGAATCAAAATCATCTATAAGATTTTTTTCAAAAGATTCTTTATGTTTTAATAATTCATTAATAAATAATTGTAAATATTCAAGAAAACATTCATATGCAATATTATATTCAATAGATGAATTTTCTTTTTTATCATACCAATATTTATATAAATTATTTTCAAATTCACCTGAACCTTTTAAATAAAAATTTTTTTTAAGTATTAATCGAAATCTTGATAAACAATGAACAAATTGTTCATGTTTAATATTGATTAAATTTTCAAATGGTACATATTGAATAATTGTTGAACCTTTTTCAATAAATATTATTGAAGAATCATTATGATATTCTGTATAATTTAATAATAAAATATTTTCTTCATTAATATCAGTTAAATAATTAACTATAAGATTTTGTTCAAATAATCGAAAAATTTTTATTGAAATATTTTCAATAAAAATTCTTTTATCATGATTTAATTCTTTTAATTTTTCATCAATTGTACCTGTTCATAATATAATATCAATAGAATATTGATTTAAAATCGATAAAATTATATAAATCCATGAAGATTTTATTGATGTTTGTTTTAATTTTAATTTATTATTATAACCAATATGAACATAATCTTCTAGTATATGTCCATCAATTAATAATGTACGTTTATATCCTTTTATTGATTTATTTATTGGAAGTATTGTACCAGGTATAAATAAACATTTTTCTTCTGAATATTTAACACGTTTTATATGATTAAGATTATCAAATTGACTTAGTAATTCTTCATGTGATAGGTGTTGGTATGATGAAATAAAATATAAATAAGCTTGATACAAACTATCAGAATAGATATTTTGAAAACGACATATACGAAGAAATATATTTGAATTTAAATATAAATTTTCAATAAAATTTTTTTTAGCAATTAATATTGATTGATCAATAAATTGTTCTAAATAATTAAAAATTTTCTTTTGAAATACTTGATTATTTTTATCAAATAATATTTGAAGATGATTATAAAATGTGATAAGAAAAATTAATAATGTCTTAGATGAACATCCATCATATTTATTATGAAATGTTTGTAATGTTTCAATAACTAAAGAATGATATGGATGAATAATATTAATTTCTTCAATTAATCGTATTGGACATGAAAATAATTCAAATGATGATGAAGAATTAACACATTTCATACTTGTATGATCACATAATAAAGACGAAATCATAGATTTTAACTGACACATATATAATGATAAATTTTCAATTGTTATAAAACGACTCATCTAAAAAAAACAAAAGAGAATGTATGAGAATGTTATATTTTGTTTCTAAAAAAAACGAAAGAAAAACTTTGTACGTGTATGTGTGTTTGCGCACGAAATAAGACAAAAGTAACAACAGCAAAGCTAACAACATTATGCAAAAACACCTGGACCGTATTCTGATAAAGCCCGTCAAATATATGGACAATTACGTACAAATCTAATAGCAAATATGCATCGTGTTTATGAAAAAACAGGTTATATTTGGGAACAATATGATGATAAGACTGGTTATGGACAAGGTAGTCATCCATTTACAGGATGGTCATCACTTATTGTATTGATTATGTCTGAACTTTATGATGAATAATTTTAAAAAAAGAACATTTTCTATTCCGTTTTCTTTACTT